ATTATAGTACAGTACTCTACAGTATATATATATATATATATATATATATATATATATATATATATGCGCCTTGGTTCTTACCATCTTAATCCAGCTTTTTGGCTATTTCATCTTCTTTATCCTTGGAGGCCTCATGTACAGATGACACTGCGTGCACGCACACAAAGAGACACAAACAGGAATGTCATTATCATACCAATGGCTCAGAGCTTGTTTGACATGATTTTACCTTCACCATGTCACACACAGCCACCGTGGGTGAACTGACGAGCTAAGAGTTATTCATATCTACATCTCCTGCACCACTGCTGATTTATTCCAACACACATACTCACACGCACACAGAACACCCAGATAAATCTTGTAAAAGTTATGTAATACATGCTTTCTTCCATTCCACCTGAGTTTTTCACAATGTTGCAGATTGGTTACCTCCTAAAAGTACAAACTGTTTGGAGTGTAAAGAGTGAGACAAGAAGTATAAGGTTTAAATCATACTGTATTTACCCACACACACAAAAAGATACTATGATTTTTCTCCCACTGTGTGACATCAAGTCAGCTAACACATGTCCTGTTTTTATTTTTATTTTTAAAGATTGTTTCATCTTGCTTTAAACTAAGAAGTATATTCACGTAGTATTTAGTGGAGTTGCTACCTTTCAACTACAGAACACTCCTCCCACCAAACTCTCCACTGAGCTCCTTCAGACTAGCCAGCAGCAATTAGCAAACACCTAGTGGAGTTAAACATTTACTGAGCTCATTACATGAGCTGCTTCTCATTGCAGTGCTACTAAAAACAATGCTAAATGCTTGTTGTGATGACTTCCTGAAGGCAGAGTCTCAGAAACAGCAGGAGTTTCTTAAAGAGAGTCAAAATGTGAAGTCAAATTTCTTTTAAGATGTGTTTGATTTTTATAACAATTGAAGGTAACATGGGTGCTATAAAATAGCACTCTGTCTTGAAAATACATAATACTGCCCCTCTGAGAAATATATATATGTTTAAATGGCTCATTGTTCTGGCTTTTAACAAATAGAAAAAAAAAATGTTAACATGAAATGACCTGAAACAATGTAAACTAAACCAAAGTATCTGGTCCAATCATTTGGGAAAAACAAACAAACAAACAAACAAAAACAAACAAAAACAACCTTTAAATCAGTTCTTATCTTAATGGAGTTTTCCACTAAACCTCACCAAAGGTCGCAGACAATTCTGTGTTTAATTAGAAGCGGCGGGCCATGATAAGTCTGCTGGCAGCTCACAATGGGACACAATGAGAGAGGACTGTCTGACTGGAGCTGTTGTGCTGACAACATGCTCATAATACAACATCAACATGCAGAAGAGAAGCATTCATGTCACTGCTCATGTCACTTGTTCGGCATTAAGGTCCAACAATATCCCATTCAGCCCTCTCAGCACATGCAGCTGAATCGCTCACTAACATCTCAGGGTTGCCAGCTGCATGTGAAGGATTCATGTAAAGCTACTCCAGCGCCGGCTTCCCCTTCATCCCTGAAATGATTGAAGCGATTGGCCATATGAAGGAACATCCAGTGCTTCTCTGCATGTCAACAAGATTTCATCCACTCCACTGAGTCAACCTCTCCTCACCTGCTGCTCCACCTCCAAACTGTTTCTGCGTGTTTGCACACGCATTGAGCCAAACACACACTCGCATTGATTTCTGTCACATTCCATTCCAGTCATAGTCTTGCTACAAATGACCTCCGCCTGAAAACTGTCTTCTGAATCAGCGTGACTCCCTGAAGAGTCTGTCAGCATGACAGTTTTGTCGACATGGTGTATGTGTGTGTGCGTGTGTGTGTGTCGTTTCATTAATCATGGAGCAAAATAAAACTGCCAGACTCTGGAGAACAGAGGCATCCATCATGAACTTAAAGGGGGCAGTAATATGTGTTTTACAGGCACATAGTGCCACTACATATCACAATAAAGTTACATTCAGTTGTTATAAAATGCTGTCTATCAAATATCAAATATGACTTGAAAGAAATTTTACTTAGTAATTTAATGCCTTGAAATTGAGACTCTGTCTCTTTAATAACTCCATTTTCAGGAAGTCATCGCTACATGGCTTCTCTGGACTTAGGCTTATTGTTTTTACCAGTGTTGCATTGAGAAGTAGCTCATATGATGAGTTCAGCTGATGTGTTCTACCAGTTCTACCAGGTGTTTGCTAGTTGTTGCTGGCTAGTCTGAAGGAACTCCAAGGAAGAATTTCATCCTTGAAGGTGTTGCTGATGTTGCCAATGGCGCAAATCACAAAGAAGACAACATGAAATAGTTAGAGGATGAAGGCTCGGCATGTGTTTGAATGACTTACTGCCTGAACTAACTTATTCATGTGTGATTTTAACTCTGTTTCTTGTTTAATGGAAACACTGCAATTGCAAAAACTGTATTTTTCCAACATTAGCAGAATATTGACAATTTTGTGCACATTTGTAATAGAAACACAGCTTGTGTTGCTAAGGTGTTGGTATGTCATACCCTCTGGTGACGATTCAGGAATCGGCTCAGTTGCAGGTTCTGGATCTGCGGGGGCTTCAGTTTGCGTCGCGCCAGGATTCCCCTCAGAAACTTCTGCTGTGACTCCATTCTCTGTACTGGACTCTGGATTCACCGTGACCGGTGGAACTTCAGAACCCTTGGCCGGCTCTGGGACCGAAACCCCTACAGGACCATATGCCTCCTCTGGTGAGGCAGTAACACCAGAGGAGACTGTGGAAACCTCCGTCTCCTCATCGGCGGCAGAGTGAGGCTCAGCTTGAGCGGGAGCTGCAGCAGCAGTTACCGGAGGCATCTCTGGAATACTCGCTGCAGCGATAGTTGTGTCTATTACAGCATCTGCAGGCCCTGAGGATTCGGTTGGGGCTCCATCTTCGTTGGCTACTGAATCTGTGGTTGCTGTTGAATCTTCGGCTGCTGCTGGAGTCTCTGAGTCAGTTTCTGGCGAGGTATTGCCGAGTGGGGCTTCCTCCTGGACATGGTTAGCATCTTCAGTTGCTGCTTTGGAGGCTTGTTCAGCTACTCCCTCTTCCACAACTCCGGCGGTCGCTGCTGGCTCCTCTACAACCGACACTGGAACTTCTTCCTTAACAAGAACAGGGATCTCTGTCTGCACAGCTTCAACAGGTTGAGCTTCAGGGGTCTCGTCCAGGGCCTCAACTGCTTTGACTTCAGAAGAGGCTTCTGCCGGTACAGTTTCTACAGGAAGTGTTTCCTCCATGGGCAACAATACTTCAGTTACTGTGGCAGCAGCTTCCTCATCTACTGTAGGATGTGGTGCCAGCTCCCCACCAGCTGCGAGTGGTTCAGGAACTACTAGGAGATCTTCCCCAGACACGAGATCCTCCTGGGCCTCTACGGCCTCCAGCACGGCCTCCGTCTCATCTTCAGGCCCCGCTTTGGCATCGTCTGGTGAGGCGGTCTCCACAGGCAGCTGCATCTGGTCCTCAATGGTCCGTACATCTTCTTCTGCGATGATGCCGTTTCTGACTGCTGTGAAGAAAAAAAAATATGGAAAATAAAAGATTAGCAATTTGCAATTAGACCACCAGTTGTCAGTGACATATTTGTCTGTAACTCTGACATAGCAATGACAAAAGTCAGGGAATAAAAGAATGAACCATATTCTTCTCCTCATAAGATTTACTGCCTGTGATTTAACGGCAGAACCTTTGACAAACTTCTGTTGTCTGTGATATTATAAAATTCTCAGATAAATTCTCAAACTTTGCATCAGCCACATTTCTGTCAGGCCAGGCGCTCGTTTGCAAAAGCATAAGTTCTAGTGAACTGAATTCACATTCTGGACAAATGTTGACACTAAGTTTAAAACAGAGACAATGATCTCAGTGGTGAAAATCCCAGCTGTCCTGTCAACCTTTTTTATATATGTAAAATAATATTTGTGAAAAAATATCTTAACTTCAATATTTTGTCTGGTGTGCTTCTAATGTCTTTCATTATATAACGTGGGATTTGAAAGAATTAGACATTTTTGAGGGAAATTATATAAAGCTTCAGTCAACACAGGATGCAGGAGACAGGAGAAACAATAAAGGACACAAACTGCGTCCTTTCATTTCCTTGCTTGAAAATAGGATTTACTGAAGCCCTGAGGACGAGCATTCTGAGGAAATGATCCTCTCCGCTTTCTACGGTCAGTTAGGTCTGCGCACACACAAACATAGTGCACTTGTGTATGGAAGTAATGAAGTCATATTTTAGAAAAATCCTCAGTTATGTCAATAGTCCGAATCCCAACGTAGCGATGGAAGCTTTTGATTGGTCGCAGACGAGCTGGACGGGAGCGGCTCGGTTAGCGGTACGGGTGGATGGCTCTGATGCTTCAGCTTTCTGATTTTATTTGTCTGTCGGAAGCAGTGAGCAGAGATCAGAGTGATGGGTGGAAGGGAATGTGTGGGCTTGGTAGACTGTGTGAAAATGAGCCAGTGGGAAAATTACAGCAATTAAGTAACACAAATCCCTTTGCTCTTCCTTTTCACAATTAATCTTTACATGCACTCTACGATCATTAGCTGCGTTTCCATTATGAGTGTTTGTATTCTGCTTAAGTTGAAAAAACAACGCAGTGTTTCCATTACATGAGAAACGCTATTAAAATCACACGTGAATAAGCTTACGGGGATCCGTCATGCTCCGATTACTTCCTGTCGTCTTCTTCGTAGTTTGCGCCAGGGGTAACATCTGGTTGATCACGTGACTAGTGTGATGCAAAAACAGTGTTTCCATTCCAGTTTTGCAAAATAAACCAGACATGGCCAAAACAAACAAACAAACAAAAATCACCTCATCATAGCAATACAAATTTTTAGCAAAAATCAAAGTTTTTTTTATGTTGTCATTGCCATGTTCCCAGTAAGCAAATTCATTTTCGAAATTTGCACAATTATATGGTCAACAGAAACACAGATACTTATGACTTTCATCAAACGTTTAGATCATTTCCAAAGATATGATTAAAAATTTACTTCTTTTTTTTTTCTCCCACTATGACAGGACTGATAAGTTGGAGTTTGAGCAGTGGTGCAGTGGACACTTATCGTTTATCATTTGTTAATTATTATTAAAAAAAAATTAAAAAGTCTTATAATTTTGATTTTGTCATGATAAATTTCAGTTGATGTCAAATAAAACTGACAGTATGATCAGAAATGTTATTTTTTCTATTTTCTCCTCTTTTTGTTCCAAAAGAGCAGCAATAAATATGTCAATTCAAAAACAGGATTGAATGCAGTAACTTTGTGCGGTTTAGTGACAGAAATCGCTCTTTAAGTGGCATCGTGTAGCTTATTTCAGATCAAAATGCTTTTCAAGAACAATATTTGTGTTTGTGGCGTTATGAATGCTGTGCCATGCAGCTGGTGTCCTGCTAAACTACCTAAAAATAAGTAATGAATAACTTTTTTCATCATAATTTTGATCATTATCACAATAGTACTTCAAAGTATCGCAATAAAATTGTAAATCCGTACTGCTTTGTCAATATTCAGTTTTGAAAAGTGGGAAAGCGACTGTTTGAGTTGAGGTCGACGCCTCCATGCCAGGCATCGGTGAATCATGTGTCAACAAGATTTAGCAGCCAAAGATGACACAGATCTCAGTCAAAACAGTGCCACGGCTGGTCTGCAGTGGAGGGAAGGGAGGGGAGGAGGGAACGGGACACAAAGCAGGGGCCTGGACTAGGGATGGGACCGGCACAGGCCAGGATGTCATCCAGCTGGTGTGTCAGACAGGCGGCACGCTGTAGGAATAAAAACCTCCCCTCATTCGGTTGCATTTAACATAGCCTGGCCAGGCTGAGCGGACAATTACTGATGGTCTCGGAGGTGATGACGCAAGAGTCTGGAAGGGAACCCAAGTTTCTCTCTCTGTAGGTGGAAAAAGCTGTCCGGCAGGAACAACAACGCAGTAACACAAGCATCCCACATTCAGTCAGGGAAGCAGAACATGAACACAGAGATGATGATTCTGTTTCAGGTTCAAATATACAGTTTTTCCTTTCCCCAGATATCTGAATTAACTTATGTTCCACGGGAGCTAGAGCACAGTCTGTTGCTCATGTGCAAACCAGGATGGGGGACACAGAGTGCATGGAGCGGTGCCTGGCATGGCACGTCCATGTGGCACTGAGCCGTCTGGAACAATGAGGAGACAGTCATAGATTATGTCAGACCTTCTGCTGGGCTTCTGCTCAGGCCTGCACACAGAGCTCACACATGTAGAGAGATACAGACGGAACACAGAGTGTTATGTGTGGCAAAAAAAAAAAAAACTTTCAACACATCATCATCAAGGTGAAACATGTTGGTGGCAGCATCATGCTGTGGGAACGCCTGAGTAGGAACAGAAAATCTGGTCAGTTGTTGACTTGAAAAATGATTTGAGATTAGGGTAAAGATTCACATTCTATCATAACAAAAACTCTAGAAATATGACTAGAGCTACAATGTAAAAGTTTATATCAAATCATATTCAAGTGTTTGAGTGGTCCAGTCAAAGTACAGACTCAAGCGCAATTAAGAATCTGTGGTAAAACTAGAATGTTGCTGTTCAGAGAATCTCACCATCAAATCTGACTGAGGTTTATCTGATTGGTAAAGCAGGATGCGTTAAAATGTCCCTCTTCAGATGCCATAGAGTCAAACCCACGGAAGACTTTGATGGATTTTTAACAAAAGTATATACTAACGCACACCACACTTTCAGATTATTGTTCTTTAAAAATAAATAAAACAATCATGCATTACTTTTCTTCTAACTCTCGATTATGTTCTATCCAAAGACCCCAAATGAAGCATCTGTTTTTCTGGTTGCAGTGGACAAAATGTAAGAAAGTTCATGGTCTATAAATATCTTTTTTTTCTTTTCTTTTTTTTTATATTGTACAGTAAATATGTTCTTTTGAAAGTTTTGCAATCCAGAACAATCCGACGTCCGTGAATCACTACAGAAAATTGGTAACAAACAGGTTAGATTGCAAATGTTGCCACAGGCTGCAAATAGATCTCTAAACAATCCCAGCTGCTCTCATGCAGTTATTATCCTACATAAAATGCTCGGTTTGCTTTATGGGAAGAGACTGAGAGAAGTTGACATGCTCATAGAGTTTAAAAAAAAAGGAAGAAACCTCCTCTCAGGTCTCATTTCATCAATAAATCATTGAATGTTTTTAGCAGTCCTCTTCTTAGCAGTAGCCAAGCAGGACAGGGGAGGATTAGGACAAACAAACAGTAATGACTTGTAGGATTCAAAGAGAACAACAGAAATATTTTAGCACCTGAAGTATTTGATCTGTGCAAGAAAAGTGAAAGCACAGAGTGTACCAGCCAGCTGCAAACAGCCTCCAGCAAAATGTGACTGAGTGGCAGAAGGAGAGTTAGATAAGCAGCTGGACAGAACATATGCTGCTCTCTACACTTCAAAACACACAAATGAAGGGCAAATTGCACTTTTAATATTCACTCGGATGGTCATCACTCACCCACTGTGTCCCCGTTGCTCTCCTCAGGCTTTGTGCCTGGTCTCTTCTCCTGCTCCACTGTCTGTGCACTGGATGATGAGCAACCCATGCTTGGAAGTAAAATATGACAAATCTAGAAAGCTGGAGGCTGCTTCAGGAACAAGCGACCACAAGTTTCAGTGCTTCCTGCTTTCTTTCTCTTTTTTTTTCTTTTAAAGGTTGATGCTGTCTTTCTGTGCGAACAGGAGCATCTAAACTCTCCACAAGTCCTCAAAGCAGATGGGAACCATTATCTGCTCTATGCTGTGGGATCACTCATGCTCCGCTGTACTTTTATAATCTGCTCCCTGCATGCAGCAAAGCAGTTCAGGCAGCAACGCTGAGTGTTCCCCTAACTACCTCCAGTTCTAATGTAGAACTATCCATGAAGCAGCAGCAGGAGGAGGAGGAGGAGCAGGAGGAGGAGGAGGCAAACACTTCTGAGGACAGTGTCCTCCCCTCTGAGGCCTGTGTGGCGCAGATCCACCCCCTGGTGGTGAAGTGTCAAACCACACACGCAACAAACATAAAAGTAGAAATTTGAATTTACAAGTGAATCAGTGGATTAACATAGAATTCAGTTCAGTTCATTTATATTACACCATTGGATGGGTCTAATTAAATCAAGGGACAGAAATTCAGATATTTAAATGTTTATTCATCAGTATGCTGTACAATCTGCAATAATATAGTCAACTTTCTTCACAAATAAAGTGTTTAAAGTGGAAGAGCACTTCAGTTGAAAAACCATGCCATCTTGGCTGTCTGCCCAGGGTGGCATGGGCTCAGGGGGCAGCATGAGGGAGGAACAAATTAATGTAGTCATATGTTCTGATCTAGTATTCTACTGTTTATTGCATGTCCAGTCAGTGGTGTTCAAACTTTTATTCCCAGGAGCCAAAATCAAAACAATAAAAATGCAAAAAATTAGTTTACCAGAACTTTTTTTTTAGTTTCACCTGCTCAACAATAAACACCTTTTTTTTAATGAACTGTGTATATTATTGAAGATCTAAAATATGTCAAAGCCATAATTGGCCCCTGGGGCCTCACATATTACACCAATGTAAAATACATTGGTGGCTGATGAGCTGAAGTTGGTGTCTGATTTGAAGTTCTTGGTTCTCTGCTAAAACAAGGAGCTACATAGATATGTTAAAGGAGTTTGGACAACTTTTGAACATCTCCAATCCAAAATTAATGGACTGGTCAGATTTTAAAAACAGATTGCATGAAAATATTGTTTTATTTATGAAACCACACAAAAAGAGAATTTTTAATTCTTCCCTGGACTTTGGACCGCCTTAGTGTGTTTGGTTTTGTGCAGGGTGGCAGACACTGATGACCAGGATAATGATGGCTAAAAAGATCCCATAAAAATTCCAGACAGTTGTTAGTCAATGTCATCTGGATATATCTAGTACCAAATTAATGCTGTTTTCATCCAGTTTGGGAGGTCAGTGTAATATTAACCAGAACACAAAACTGGAGATGCTTTTGTTTTTTATATATCTTGTGCAGATTTACTTATTAGTAAAGTAGAATCAATGAATAGATTATGTATTTTTCATATGTTTGAGTTTAAATGTCTCACGTTAAGTTTTTATAGCTAATATAGCTTCCTGTGCATCTGATAAAATTTAGATTTTAAGTAATCTTTGCAGCAAAGGGGCCATTAGAAGGACCAAAATGAAATTTTTAATAGATCTGAAAATGAAACTTGATTTCATTTAAAAATATAAACCTCCACCTATAACAGCATTGCATTTTAAAACGCAATGCTGCTTGTTTCATTAGAAGATAAGGTTTCTATTTGAGCTAATGTATGACCCACAAATACAGACATGCTGAGATATAGGATGTAAAACAGAACCACCTAACGGATAAATGTCACATTGTACTGCGAGACGATAAACAGCATCAAGAGTTGAGGACGATCCCGTCAGAACCAAGCAGCGCCAGAATTTCATTTGTTCACCACTTGATTCTCCAGAGTCTCCAGCTTCTTTGACATCGCTTCAAGTATTCGTGTTAAAGAGGGTCACAAGAAATGCATCCAAAGTTGGAACACAAATAAAGATATTACAGATACTCCTGCACAAAAAGGTTCCCAAAAAGAGCACAGAGGCATCTTTATAAATCTCACTTTTTCTAGTAAACATCAACTGGACATATGTTAGGAAACGCCTTATAAATACAGCACTGAATAAACGCAGCATTAACAAATGCACAAAAACCGTTCTTGAAGATTCTTATGTATAGACAGATAAAGACCATACAATGAATACAATCAAATGTTTAAAATATTAAGTGAAATTCTAATGGTCTTTCTGTTTCTGCTCAGGAAGCAGAATGCAGCCTCGTCTCTTCCCTGCTGAGGACACGTCTATGTTCAACCTCCAGACGGTTTATTTTTGGAAAGCTATCTAGGTCTGAAGAGGTAAACAAACAGGTATGGAAAGAATAATAATTCTCATATTGGAATCAATATTCTCCCTCTGTGAGGATAGAGGACAATCTAAACACAGAAACAACAAGCTTTGCTCAGTCAAATGTGCGGAAAAGTGAGACAACTAGCTCAACATTCGATTGTTTTTATTAACTGGAGCATCTTTATTTTAAAATCAGAATTCCATTAATGGTGTATTCACCGTTAATGGTACCGTGTTGTAGTGGGACCAGCTGCAGACATGTTTAGCTATTTGGGTGAAGGCTGAGATGTTGGTTTTGGACCTGACATCATTTTCATAAAGACATTCTTGTAAGGTGGCCCACACCTATAATTTTACTAATGTAATAATAACAAGTTAAGTTCCAGATAAGTAAGTATTGCTAAATATAGAAATAATTTGCCGATTAAAAACAGAAAAATAAGCATAACTTTTAAATGCTGTTTTTGTTCACTGAAGATAAAAGTTATTTTTGCCCCACTGAGACCCCATTGTAAAACATCTGCTTTATTTATTTATTTTATTTATTTTTCCACCTCATTATCTTTGTCGTTTTACTATAAATCCAGTTATTCCCTCTGTGGAGGAAACCAGCAAAACAAAAGGATATTATTCTGAGCCAGGTTCTTCAGCTTCTCTGTCACTTGGTTCTGAAACACGATCATGCTCTCACACCGACACAAGCTTTCATCTGCCGGTTTGTCTGCAGAGGCAAAAATAAATACAGTTAGCACATCTTTTTGAGCTTTAATTTACAAGTCAGGGCTGTGAGGGGAATTGATTTTCCTCTTTCAGCCCCGACACATTTCTGTTCCTGTCAGGAACCGGTTCTGAGCGGCGGTTGTTCCAGCAGCAGCAGGTGGCAGTGATGCTCTGCTGATATACAGGGACGTTTTTACTGTAACTGGTCTTTGTTCTACAAAATGCCATAGTTATTTATTTATTTATTTATTTATTTATTTATTTATTTATTTATTTATTTATTTATTTTTAGCAAAATCACAATTTTTTTATGCTGCAGAAACACAAAACCTTACGAAGTATTTTTGGTTTCTATTACAAACAGAAACCAAAAATACTTGAAGTACACTTGAAGTAAGACAAAACTAACTTACAAGTAACTTTTCAGAAAGAAATAGAACCTTGTTTTAATTGAATAATTCCTTAATATTGACTAAAAAATACTAGTTCCACCGGCAGATTATTTCACCTATAACATGGGGGGGAAAAAACCTGTCTTGTTATAATAAATCAGACAACTTTATTTATACCATTAGGTCAATTTGATTATAGTGCGATGAGTCAGCTTTCTTGCCAGACAGGAAAATGTATATCAACACAACAATGAATGTAAATGTAACATGAGTCAACTGGCCCCGTGCTCAATATTTTTAAAATATTAAAAACCATGAAAAAATAGACTCAAATACAGTATAACCATGAGGTCAATATATAAAAAGTAAAATAAAACTATACTAAATCAAAATTTGGACACTTATGGAAAAAGGAACAAAACAGGTTTTATACTTCCTAGGTTTACATCTAGGGATGAAATATCTGTATCCAGGTGCAGATATTTTCACTTATCGGTGATATTTTTACAAAGAAGTGAAATAATCTGCCAGTGTAACCATTACTTTTTATCAATATTAAGGAATTATTGACTTAAAACAAGCGCTTAGTTCTTGCTGATAAAGTTACATGTCAGTTAGTTTTTGTCTTATTTCAAGCATACTGAAATAAGATATTTGCACAAAAAACTAGACCAAACATACTTGGTAAGATTTTTGTTTTTGCAGAGTAAAATTAGTTCATAATTAGTGATCACCTTTACACATCCTTGACTTCAGTTTCTTTGTAATTTCTCCCATTTTCTCAAAGTCCTCTGCGTAATAGAGGTGCATCTCAGCAGGCTCCGAAGCAATTTCCCTCAGCTCCTGTTCAATGGCCTTCCCAACTCCCAGTGCGTATATTGTCACCCCTGAAAGTGGCAGAAAACAGAGCCAAGGCACGAGTTTAATATCAGAAAGAACATGCTTTCGTTAGAAATGTAACTCATATCACCAGCGGTCTTTGCTTTGCTGGCCCACTCGGAAACATCATCCTGCGACCGTCCATCGGTGAACACGATGCAGACGCGCGGGACGTTCAACCTGGCGCCTTCTTTCTCCGAAAAGCTGAATTGGAACATGTGGCGCAGCGCTGAGCCGGTCATGGAGCCCCTCCCCATGTACTGCATCTGGCTCACGGCCCTCTTGACGTCCTGCGCCACGGCGTGCTGGCCCAAAGAAAACTCTGTGCGCACCTTGGTGGAGAACTGGATGAGTCCGACGCGCGTGACCATCCTGGAGACGTTCAGCGAGTCCACGATGCTGTTCACGAACTGCTTGACCAGCTCAAAGTTGGCGGGGCCCAAACTCTTGGAGCCATCGATCACGAACACCAAATCCATGACTCCGTCGTGACACCCTGGTTCTGTCAGGTGCAAAGACATGAAAAACGTGTTGATGTAGATTTTTGTTTGTTCAGTCTTCAGTTGCATCTAAGAATAAAGAAGAAAAACAGCTGAGACTTTACTTTCACAGCTTTTCCCATCTTCAGCCAGCAGGAATCCCTCATTACATTTACAGATGTAGGAGTCAGTGGTGCTGAAACATAGGTGTTGGCAGCCATGGTCCAGAGTTTGACACAGATCAACACCTAGAAGTTTAACAAATGTTACTGATGCTGCTGAGACACAATGAACCTGTTTATTCATACTGTATTTTACTAAAAGACAGAGCTGAAACGATTCATCCAGTTAATCTGTTGATTAAATAATGGTCAACTAATGTAAATTGTGAAATGATTAACAGTTGTATAAAGAAGAAACCATGCGATTTGCTATATATATATATATATATATATATATATATATATATATATATATATATATATATATATATATATATATATATATCAGTGATGTGCGGTCATGGGAGGCAGGTGAGGCAGAGCCTCACCTGCCATGGAAAACATAATATAACAATAACACCATTTATATTGCTATTTTCACCCTGTGGTTTGTACTATAAAGTATCTATTTTTTACTTAGCTTAACCAATTCTGATGATTTTTTTCTTCAAAATCGATGGATTTTCGTATTTTGACATTCAAATGCTCAGAAGCGAAGCCGGTGAGGCAGCAGCGAGCTGAGCCTCACCTGGAATTGCGCAACCTCTGGCTGCTATTCTATGGGACCAAGTTCGTCC